AATCGCATACTCGGAAACATGCAGTAAATATTGGCGTTTCGACACTCGAGGAGAAACAGGTGAGAGAGCAGGGTTGCTACCTGACCAGCTTGAGCAAGCTCGTGTACGCCGCGTTCAGCTCATAGACGGACGGGCGTCCCGCCAGCTCCTCCTCGGTTGCGGCGTCAGGGTGCAGCTCGCGCGACCGAAGGCGGAACTGCGCCCGCAGCGCCTTTTCGTCCAGCGCGAGCAGGTCGTCCTCGCTCACAGCCTCGAAGCCCAGCAGCGCTAGGTCGGACTCGAAGAGACGGAGGCGCCCGAGCCGCTCACGCGCCTCGGCAGCCTGCTGCAGCTCACGCTTCTTCTCCTCCGCCGCATCGGCGTCCATCAGCCCGGCGGCGGCGGCGGCGTTGACGGCAGCCTCGGCCGCCTGCGTCGCCGCGACGTCGCTCAGCGGGCGCGGTCTCTGGACACGCAATGCTTCTTCTGCCGCCTCCCGCTTCTGCCGCAGCTCCTGGTCGCGCCGCTCCGCAGCCGCGCGCTCTGCCGCCGCCGCCTCTGCCGCCGCCGCGGCCGCAGCCTCAGCCGCCGCCGCCGCCGCCTCTGCCGCCGCGCGCTCGCGCGCGGCGGCCGCCTCGGCCTCGGCATTGGCCTCCGCAGCCACCGCCGCCTCGCGCGCCTCGCGCGCCTCGCGCTCCGACTTTGACTCGCCGAACAGGCTGGAGAGCAGCGCCTTGCCCGCCGTCTCTGCGACTGCGGCGCCAACCTCGATGCCGACGGCCACGCCAACCGAGCCGAGCGCTGAGAGCGGATTCTCCTTCTCCCACGCCTCCAGCGCCGCCGCCGCCGCGTCGAGGTCCGCCGTCGCCGAAGCCAGCTCATGCTCCGCGGCCGACGCCGCGGCGGCCGCCTCGTCCGCAACCTTTTGGGCGGCCGCCGATCGGCTTGCCGCCGCCCGTGCCTCTGCAGCGCACCTCTCCGCTGTCTGTGCTTCAGCCTCGCGCCGCTCCGCCGCAGCAGCCAGCTCGTCCTTTGCAGCCGCCACCCGCGCCTTGGCTGCAAGCTTGTCCTTCTGAAGCGACGCGGTCGGTGGCGGCGGCGATGGTTCAGGTGTCGCGATCGGCGCACGCGAGCGCGGACGCTGCGCTCGTGGGCGCAAAGCGACGTTCAGACCACTAGCTTGGAGGAGGAGGAGGGTGCTGACGGCAGTGATGCCCCGGCTCATTCGCGTCATTTCGAGAAGGATCCGGCGCGGAGGATGTTCTCTCGCTCTGCAAGCACAATTCACGCCGCAAGAGACGACAGGGTTGCCAGGTGAGAGCGAATGGCGCGGTTCACGCCTCGCACAACAACAGTCAACAGAGAGAGAGATGCGCTCTGCATGGTGGGACATAAAAGAGAGCGAGTACTTGGGCGAGTAGGCCTTGCGGTCGACGCTGCCGCGCGCGACTTTGCGCGCAAGGCGGCGCAGCTTGAGAACGGCGGTGGGCGAGAAGCCGCCGCCGAACGTCTCGTGGAGCAGCAGGGGTTGAAGTTGTTGCGCTTGACAAAGATCGCGTCGTGTGGTAGAAACCATGTTTGTTTGTGCGTGTCCCCGCGCGTGGCACGGGAGGCTGCGGGCATCGCTGCGGCAAAAGCGCCCGTCATCTGCTTTGCTTTCGCCCGCGTTGTACGACAACTTTCGGTTTATCATAGCCGCCGAACTTTTTTACCTCGCTGTTTCTTTAAAGGCGTCTCGCTGCTGCGTATTCTCGTATTATCGTCGAGTAGTTGCGTGGGGGCGGTACGTATTCTCGTATCACTAGCTAGTGTCGTGTCCACTAGCTCCGAGTAGAGGGGGGGCGCTCCGCAGCTAGGGGAAACACAAAGCGCAGACTAACCCTCGGAGAGTATTCTTTAGTTCCGAGTAGAGGGGGCGCTCCGCAGCTAGGGGAAACCCAAAGCGCAGACTAACACTCGGAGAGTATTCTTTAGCTCCGAGTAGAGGGTGCGTTTTCTGCAGTTAAGGGGAAACCCGGTACACGGAGCCAACCCTCGGAGACCCGTGTTATGGCCCTGCGACCGCGCACCCCCCAGGGCTAGGGCTCTCTTGCCCGCAACCCGATACCGATCATCCGGCCCGCTGGGTGCGCTTCTTAGCTCCCCGGCCCTGGATGTGAGGTTAATGACTGCACTCCAAGTGCTCCAAGTGCCGTATCTAAGAATGTCACTTAGGTTGTGTCTTTTCTTTCTTTCTTTCTTTGACGCGAGGTGGCATGAAGCTTGCAGCGAGAATCGGCGAGGAAGTGATGAGAGATAGGAAGAGGCAGACGCCCAAGGGTGGGCGACGGCTAGCAACACACTCCTCTCCTTAAAATCCCCTGTGTGGTGGCGGCGTGCCGTCCGTCCTCCCATCCCTATCCCTGGTGTGGATGGTTTTTTTCGCGGTACCGCGGCGGGATATGGCGGGATATGGCGGGATATGGCGGGATACCGGGAGATACCGGGAGATACCGGGAGACACCAGGAGATACGAGATACGGGCAGATACGGGCAGATACGGGCAGATACGGGCAGATACGGGGAGATGCGAGGAGATGCAAGGAGATACGGGGAGATACAGTCAGATATTGGAGAGATACATCAAGATACCGCAAAAAAAACGTCCACACTAGGACTATCCCTCCCTTGGGTTGTCTGTTTTCTTTCTTTCTTTTTCTGTGACTTTTGTGGCGTGCTAGTCCGTGCCAGTCTGCTGTGAGAGGGGCTTTTATTCGTAGAATTCTTTTCTTGCATAATTCTTTTTCTGACGTTCCAGCCAAAGAATTCCACCTGGAAAAAGAAAAGATACTCCCGCGCTAGGCCGTCGGCCCATTGCACGCTCGCTCAGTGCACGCTCCTGAGTGCTGATGAGTTGTGAGAGAAGCTGCGTGAGGGCAGCTGGTACGCGGTGCAGGAACTTACCGGGTTTTATGTGGGCGCACGGTTTCTTTCCAGTGTCGATGCCAGTGACAGGCCAGTGCATATGTGCATTCAGTCAGACCCCAGAGTTGTGCATGAATGCGAAAGGTCGATGCCTGGGGGAGGGTGTAGAGGATGTAGAGTGTAGAGCGCTGTAGAGCTGTAGAGATGTAGAGCGCTCTGGAGCGCTGTAGAGCTGTAGAGCTCTACATCCGCCGCGTGACGAGGCGCCTGCGTTTGTAGAGCGATGTAGAGCGCGGTTTTGCTGTAGAGTTTGTTGTAGACAAGAGGCTCTACAGCCAAACCGCCGGGAAGGCAGTAACTCAAAGAGGTCGAGTCGCACTAATGGGGTGTCTCCGAGCTTACTGGAGCTCTGATGGACGGCCCTGACTATCCCTGACACACAGAGAGTCACTCTGACGGCACACAACACCCTATAACTGCGTCATGACCAGCCTGCCATGCGTCGCCGGTGCCGCATTCGTCGCAGTGCTTCTTTAGCAGGCGGTGGACTGTCGGCTGCGAGGACGGTCGCATTTTGCGCGAGGCGAGGCGAGCATTGCTGCGCGTTGCATGCGCCATGACTCGCGCCAGCGCGTGCGGGAGCCCCTGGCTGAGCGTTGAGTCCAGGCGAGTTGCGCTGGCCACTATCGCTACGCCGAGCCGAGCTGACGCGCCGAGGCGCCGGCCAGTCGCAGCCGTGAGGCATGCCACAGCAGCAGAGGCACGCCACCTGCCACCCATTGGGCGGGCAGACAGAAGGCCAGGGCAGCACTGGCAGGTGCAACGCGCCTCATGTCGGAGAGCGAACGGGCCTCGTTCGCCGCTTATGATGTAGAGTTTGTTGTAGAGATTTCACGTTGTAGAGCGCCTCTACATCGCTCTACAACGCAGGCGCCTCGTCACGCGGCGGATGTAGAGCTCTACAGCTCTACAGAGCGCTCCAGAGCGCTCTACATCTCTACAGCTCTACAGCGCTCTACACTCTACATCCTCTACACCCTCCCTCCAGGTCGATGCCTCCACGCCAAAGCGGCGAGCAAGCGAATAGAAAATAATCAAATGACGATCGGCCGTCGAACGATCCCGAGGCACGAGGGTCGTCGGTTGAGCTAGGGAGCCTGGCGATGGACGCCACCGCGACCCCTCGTGGCATCTCTCTCGCCGTCGGCGAGCTAGGGGCTCGCGGACGGCCGAATTAATATAGATGTATTGAACGAATAGTTTGACGTGCGTCCGTCTGTCGGATCATCCGACAAGGTAGAGCGCACCCACGGCTTGTCTTGTTTTGGGGTCGAGGGACCTCACCTTTCCCCCCTTTTTGCAATTAACAATGCTTTGGAATCTATGTGTGGACATGACCTCGAGTGGATCCCCCTCTCCGACGCTTGCCCCCTCTCCTGACGCGCACCCCGCGCAGACGGCGCTCCGGGACAGACGGAGCAGGCAGCGACCGCGCGCGCGGTCTCTGCTCCGCCCCTCCGTCCGTCGCGCGCGCCGCGCGCGCGCTGCGCCGCTGCCGCCGCGCCCCCCTCGCCGTCTGTTTCCCGCCGTACTCGAGTATGGTGTGCGGTGCGCGCAGCGCACACAGCAGCCTCCCCACCCCCCTACCCACCCCGTCGCGCCGCCGCCGCCGCCCCCGCCGCCGCCGCCGCCCCCGCTGTAGCGTTTGGGGGGCGACTGGCGACGGCAAAAATGCAAGCCACCCCAGGCAGTTAGAGTTTACTTGAAAAAAGAAAAAGATCGGCCGCGCCTGTCCTTTCGCGCTTTGACCCTGGCTTTGACCGTCGGAGACATCAGAATCACGGGAGACCGGGCACGTCTGGATGCCCGCTCGGACCGCGCTCGTCCATCGCTCGCTCTCCACCGCGCTCAACCATCGCTCGCTCGCGCTCGTCCATCGCTCGCTCTCCACCGCGCTCGCCCACCGCTCGCTCTCCACCGCGCTCGCCCACCGCTCGCTCTCCACCGCGCTCGCCCACCGCTCGCTCTCCACCGCGTTCGTCCAGCCCGCGCTCCGGCCGCTCTCTGCGGAGGACGCGTCCGACGTGGAGGCTGTGGTGGACGCTTCGGCGCGACGGCTCTTCAGCCTGTTCGAGCGCCACGGCAGCAGCGACTACATCGGCGAGCCAATGTCCATCACGGAGCACTCCGTGCAGACGGCAAACGCGGCGCTCAAGGCGGGCGAGACGGACATGGCCGTGCTCGCCTGCCTGCTTCACGACGTGGGCCACCTCTGCGGGCTGGAGGCGGGCCACGCGCCAGGCATGGGAGGCTGCGGGACGCCCGACCATGAGCGGATCGGCGCGGACTTCCTCGGCGCGCTCGGCCTGCCGCAGGACATCGCCTACCTGTGCCACCACCACGTCGGCGCAAAGCGGTACCTGTGCGCCACGGTGCCGGGCTACGAGGAGCGGCTCTCCGAGGCGAGCAGCGTGACCCTGCAGCACCAGGGCGGGCCAATGTCGCCGGCGGAGGTTGCGGCGGCCGACGCCGACCCTCGCTGGCCGCTCGTGCTGCGGATGCGACGGTACGACGAGGCGGGCAAGGACCCGCACGCAGCAGCGACGAGCCCTCGCGACTTCGAGGCGCCGCTCCGCGCTGCCTTGCGCGCGTCGGTCGTCCAGCAGCTCGACGCCGCCGCCGCCTCGCCGCTCGCGTACCCGCTCTCTCCCTTTGCAAGCGGCTACCTGCTCTCGCAGGAGCAGCTCCGCTTCTGGGACGAGCAGGGGTACCTGACGCTGCGGCAGGCGCTGCCGCCAGCGACGGCGGCCGCGCTCTCGGCGATGGCGGACGAGGCGGCCGCGCTGCCGCGCGGCGCGTGCTACCCGTGGCTGCTGCACGACGAGAGGTCGAGGGTCGACGGGGAGGTGCGGATCTGCCGCGTCGAGAACTTTGTCAAGCACCACCGTGGCTGGGGCGAGGTCGGGCTCGGACTCTTGCAGCAGCTCGTCACGCAGGCCTTCCGCGCGCCGGCGGTCCTCTTCAAGGACAAGATCAACTTCAAGGGGCCGGGCGGCGGCGGCTTCCTCGCCCATCAGGA